GAGAGAGAGAGAGAGAGAGAGAGAGAGAGAGAGAGAGAGAGAGAGGAAAAAGGACAAAGAAAAAGGCTTAAACCGGAGGGATATTTTGGCCCGGCAATGCAGCGCCCATGCCAGATTTTTTTCCCCGGCTGGCCTAATTCAGGGGTCTTCCAAAAACGCTTGTGGGTCTGATCGCTTCGCCTCGCTCTTTCCTTGGCTAAAGAGAGCCAGGGATCTCCGATGCGCGGATGAAGACTTGGAACAAGCTTTTTACGTTTTCCTGAAATGTGCCCTGACAAGGCACATATGTAGGCCGCGTTTGCATCGGATAGTCGGGCCTTCACCACCTCCAAGTCTCCTCTTTAAAAGCAACGGTATGAAACTGATTACAGAAAGTGGGGGGGGAGAAGAAAGGGGGAGACCCTACCGATGGATTGGTTGTATCGTGGAAACCACAGAAGGGAAGAAACAGCCTGGGAAAAGAGGTTGCGTTGCAGACGGCGTTTTATCTCCCGGTACGGCTCCCATTCGGAGGGGATTCCTAGGTGTCCCTTTTCCCCCCTGAACACACACACACATACACATACGCATACGCATACATGCACACACACACACACACACACACACAACCTCTGATCAGATAAGCAGCCCTTCCAGAATTTCAAGGGTTAAAATGAAAGGGGGGAAGGGGAGACTTCGACGTCATCCCTCTTTTCGGCAGACGCAATATATTTATATATATATAAGGCCAGGTTTGAAAATTTGGAAGGCAGGAAATGAATGGCTGAGAAAGTCCCAAATTTAATTCGGCAAGAACTTGGATAAGGTGATTTTTTTTTAATTTATGTTTTTGGTCGTAGAGGAAGGAAAAAAGAAAAGAAAAGCTACCGAAATAGGGATAAACACAAATAGGGGTAAACCCTCAGGTACCTGCCGCAGCCTGAAAACAGAAGCCACCTTCTTGGGGATTAAGAATCTGTTTGACCCAGAGGAGGCCAAGGAGCAGGCAAAAGAAAATATTGCTGCCTTTTTAAAAAATTTAGGAATTGAATTTTCAACAGAGAAGACTGAGACAAAGCAATCCTGACTGAGAACCCCACTTCTACCTCTGTTCTTCACCATCATCCATTTTCTTGTTCCAAGCATTTGATCTGAGCCCTATTGGGGGTTCCTCCTCAACTCCCACCTACCCCCCAAATTGTGTAACATAAGAATGCGTTGTCTTGAAACTGCATCAAACTGGGGAAAGCCTACACACACACACACACACAAACACACACACACACACACACACACACATGCGTACCCCTGGGCTGCAGGTATATATATTTTATCAACAAGAATAAAAGGCTGGGAAATTGGGGACTTGGGGTCATTTTTATTTGCCGCAGATTTGGCAAATCTGAGATGTTTTATATATATATTTTTAAAAAATTCCACTTGGAAGTTTCTCTTTTCCTGAAAGTTTCTTTTAAACAAACAAGACTTGGAGTCAGGCAGTCCTTGCTGCCTATAATAGAATTAAAATAGACCCAAAATCCAGCTATGTGGATCACTCGATAGCAGGTCAAATTGTTCTATATTTCTCCCTTGCTTCTCTTCTAACCACCTCCCCATAATTATGTAGGCAACTTGAAATGTTTATCCAGGAAAAAGTGGCCATTTAAAATATGTTGTTACACTCTCAGGCAAGAGGGCATAATAGCATTTCAGAACCCTTCCTTATTTTGCTTCCCTGCAGGAAAAAAAAAATAGCTTAAAATTGTTTAGACATTTTTTAAAAAAAAAAGTGCATCAAAGGAAGTTCTGTATCTATTATCCCCCAAAGTCATAATAAATATTGTAAGGAGGTTTGTTTTAAAACAGAAAGAAAAAATATTTCCTTGGTTTGTGTTTGTGTATGTGTTTGTGTGTGTGTGTGTTTTGGGGCGAGGGTCTTCTATAAAAGGGAAATACACTGCTTTTCGATTTCCTCTCGAAGCTTCTAGTGAGATTTCTTTTTCTTCAGGTTCGAATGGAAACTCCCCGGGATGTAGTAGGCCTCAAAGTTACAACTCTGTCTTATTTCGAGGCTTGGCTAGATAAAAAGATAAATGCTGATGTACATGCCTGGGTTCACGTAGGGGTGGGTATAAGCTCCAGAAGGCAAAATCCAGCTGTGTTTTCCTCTTTTCCCCCTTAAATTAAAAATAAACCCCAAGAATAACCGCAGATTTCAGAACTGAAATCAGCAGATTTCAGATCGATATTTTTCAGAGAAGTGCCCTCCTCGCCCTCAAATACACACAGGCCCAAAGAATCTGGGCTAGTTTGTGAAAGTCGAGAGTCAGATCCTGCCCAGTTGACCTGGACTACAACCTCCGTCCCTAATTCGGCCTGGTCTCGGGGAAACTAAACAGACACCTGCTTCGAGCACACGCTGCCTTCGCCTTCACTGGGGAGGGGAAGAGAAATGCCGAAAAATGCAACCCTCTAAGCCCTCCAACCTCTCCAAGAAGCCAAGTTTGTCAACCGGTTGGCTGCTGGAGCGAATGAGGCCTCCCTTCCTTCCGGGGCCGGCGTCTTGAAAACCCAAGCGCCCGATCTTGGCCAGGGCAGAGGCGGCGGGGCGCTGGGAAAGGAGGGCTGCAATTCCTGGGGCCTGGGCGCGCGGACGAGAGAGCCCTGACAGCTCAATCAGTCAATCAACCCCGTTTAAGTCAATCACGGTGGCTTTTCTGCGTTTCCAAGGGCGCGGGGAGGTGTCAATAGCAGCGCGGTGGCGATGGCTGAAGCTGATAGCGGCGGATTCATCAATCCGCCTGCGGAAAGGAGCTGGCTGAGGAGAGCCGAGGGAAGCCGCCCGCTGGAAGGCTCCCCCCCCCCCCGGTCTCGGGTTTGGTTCTTCCTCCCTTGTTCCGGGAAGGGAACCGGGGAAAGCGCTCTTTCTCTCCCTCTCTCTCTCTCTCTCTCTCTCCCCCTCTCTCTGCCCCTCTCTCTCCACCCGCCACCCTTTTAGGTCGGGGAAACCCGAGAACAAATAGGGTGCCATTCCTGCAGCCAGCGGAAGAAGGTGGCTAAGCCACCTTAAATGACTAATTGTGGGAGGTTACATCTACGAAGAAAAGACCCCGAAGCCAAGGCCTGGGGCCTGAATGTTGGTCTCTGCCACGCCAGGCCTTCCTTGCACAGAGCATTCCCACCACCACCACCCCTTCCCCCTTCGCGCCCCCCGCACGCCCTTCTGCTCTTCTTCATTCTTTCGGCCCCTACCGCCTCGCCTCGGACCTTCCAAACATCCAACCTGCTCCAAGTGCAAAGTGTCTCGCTCGACCCCACCATTCCGCACTAGCCCCGAACCTAATGGCGCCCGTCGTCCCCCGCGGAAGAAGAAACAATTCGCCGCCGAAGTCGCCCAAGACGCCTCGTAAATTCTACCAACCAGCCCGCACTTGGATCTCCAAAATTCAAAAACCTCCCCTGGACTTTACGCATCCGTAACTATCCAACGACGGAAAGAGATTGATTTGCTCAAGCCTTTTCTTGATGAAAGACACACACACACACACACACACACACACACACACACACATTAAATCGGGGTGCGGGGAATGGCCTCGCATAACGTACGCTTTTGCCAGCCGGATTCGAAACGCTTTCCACCGAAGGATCACCATTGCCCGCTTGGGTGAGGCCGCTGGATTCTCAGCGACCTCACCATTCGGGTGATTGTTATTTTTTTGCCTTTAGGACCGAGGCTGTTCTTAGGGGAAAGGGCTTCCTCGTTCTAAAGGATCGAGGATCTTAAAACTGCGGTTGGCGAGGGGAGGCAGGGGAACAGGGTGATCCAGAAGATAAACAACCAACCCACAACCTTCCACCTCCCTGCCCGCCTCCCCGGCGGCTGGATTTCCAAAGAATTGCTCGGAGAACCGACCTTCGCTCCGTTTCTTTGGAAACCGACCCAACCTGCGGGCAAAAGAGCGGCCAAAGCGGAGCTCCCTGAAACGGGACAACCTTGGGGACAAGGACCCCCCCCTCCCCATCCTGTCGCTGGTCCCGCGGCAAGTCCCCGCACCCCACCCCACCCCACCCCCCCGCCGCCCCAGATTTGGATCCCGAGGCGGAAGAAGGACAGGAAAGTCACAGGCTGATCGTTCGGGTCGGGGGGTGTGGGGGGGAGGGAGTGGAGAGCAAGGGGGGCTGGCAAGCCAACAACCCCCCGAGAGGAGAGAGGGGGGGG